CGCGTCTCAATCGATGTACGTGGCGGTCGCTTGTTTTCCATTGTTCGTTTCACATGCATCCTAAATATAGAGGGTTCCAGTCTATTTTCGCGGTAATTCATGATGTACGCTATCGGGAAATAAGCGATGGCTCGTCGCGCTAAATAAAGGTGACGGATTATCGAGTGCTGGACTATTAATAAGAACCATTCGACTCGATGTTAATTTAAACACGTTCGTATACACCTAGTCGATGAAAAATAATTGATGAACCTCTGCGAGAGGCGCGGGCGGATTAACGCGGTAAACGATACAACTGCCGAAATAGCGAACCTAATTTTTCCGTGAAATTGAATCGTTCGCTCTTTAATGCGACTATTGATCATCCAGGAGGACAGTCGAGTCCATTTGGCGGCTGATTGAAGAGCGGCTAATTTCGTTGTGATTAACAGCCTTGTGTGTTGCATGGAATCACTGAAAACTTTTTTTTTTTTATAGTAAAATTCACCAGATACGGTGAGTTCTTCAAAAAAAAAAAAAAAAAAAAAGTAATCCCTGCAAAACTTCGACGGAACAACCAAGCGGAAGTAACTGGAAGGCTCTTTGTTCCAAGGTCCGCCAACCTGACCAAATGCAAACTACCGTATCCTCGTCTCTCTCTCGAGCGAAAAAACGCTACATTGGCCCGAAGGCAACGATGAAAATGAAGAAGAATAAAGAGAGAAATAATTTGTGTAAATAGAAAAGAAAAAAAAACGAAACTCCTTCGAGAGAGAGAGAGAGTGTGTATCGTTAGATAAAGAACTCTAGGGGGAAAAAGCACGAGAAAGCGACGTATCAACGTATGTACCTGCCGCAGAGAGGAGAACAGGGAGACCACTAGAATCGAGAAAGATGACGAAACACAGAGGCGAGAGTATGAGTGAAACAACGAAAAGGAGAAAAGGGAGGTCAGAGGGTTGCCGAGTGCCGCCCCTATTCAATGGTGGGGGTAAACCTATCGCCATCCTCCTCCAACCGTTAGGATGCATTGGGGGTTGCTACCCTCTATTGGCTTCACTCTAGTGCAGAGAAGGACATACACGCAAGTAGAAGACTAGACAAGGACAAACGAGGCGTGGGCGTTTCTATGAAGGAAGATGGAAGCTGGTTAGCTGGAGTGAGACGCAAGATGGTGGAAATCGGCGGCTCGAGCGTAACCAGAAAGAGGAAGCGAGAGAGAGAGTGAAAAGAGGGTGTAAGAGGGACAATGGGGTGGGGAGGAAAGGTTTCGTGCGTTTCGTTGGAGAACTCTAACTACCGGGCGACCGTAAAGGTCGTCGTTGCTCTCTCCTCGTCGGCACATAGAAGTCGAGCAGCTGGCAGCAACGTCAGCAACGAGGAACGGATCAGTCCACCGTGTGCCAGCCTCGAGGTCCGTGTCTCTCTGTCTGGAACCTTTGATCGTCGCCGCGGTTGTGGAAGAAGAGACTTTCTTCGAATAGCATATAAACGGGCTCGCTAGAGATAATATTCTCTAGTACCACACGCAACATCTGAAGCGAAAACATTGTTTCTTTTTCGTTTTTTTTTTTTTTGTTGTTGTTTATCCGTAACCTCGAGTTTCTCCATTTCGAACGAGAGACTGATAATAATGAGACGGGATATCAACGAGAAGAGATTGCAGCCGAAGAATCGATCAATTAAAGGATGTTATAAGAACAACTTGGATCTCGATTGTTGGACGAATGATGTATTGTATATGATGGGGATCGATGGAAGAGGGAAGGAGAAGGATTTAAAGGAAATCAGCTGACAAAGTGACGGTGGTCGCCGTTGACGCGATCACGGAATTATTGTCGACGATCAACCGTGACGATTAGCGTGAGTAATTGGAGGAAGTAGATTCCGTAGAATCGATCATGTAGACAGAATGTCTGTTTCCCTTCAATCGCTTGTTCTAATCCACATTGACTGAATCGTTTAATATTATATGATATATCTGCAAACATTGTACAGCTAAGACTGTATGTGATAATAATGACGTGTTTTCTGACCAATTATGAACTGAACCATTTATACATTATATGATTTATATATGACATATGCTTGCATCATTTTTTTATCTTTGACACAATTTTTACCATTTTGCCAATTCGACATATTCCTCTCTGTTTTTCTTCTTTTCACACCATTGGACCTCTTCTCTCTTTTATCATCGTTATCATCGTCATCTTCGTTGTAACGTCTGGTTTTCGCTGGTATTCCTCCTCGAGAGACGCGCGCGCGTTGCACAACCGGAAAACGCGAATTAAGCGTGTAAATACGAAACGCGCCGCCGGTGACGAGTATTTACGCTGTGCATTGTCTCCACGTTTTCGCTCCCCTTTTCCGTCTGGTCGCACTCCGCTCACGATTTTGTCGCGTCGCCGATCTCGAGGCATCGCGAGAGAGGAATGCTCAGTCCTCTCTCTCTGTCTCTCGATATTACAAAGTTTGTCTCTTCTCTCTTTGGGCTGTTTCGTCGCGCGCGCGGCGTTTTGCAAGCGCGCTTCGTTATCGCGGAATGGCTGCTTATCGATGAAATCAATATCGAGTGGACTTTGAATTTCGCGAGCTCTGCGCAACATCGGCAATTCGAGACACACGAGAGAAAACAGGGGCAAAAAGAAGAAAGTAACATTTTCTCGCGAGGAATTTTCATGAAAAAATTATTCGTGATCGTATGTAGCGAAAACAGAAAAAAAAAGAAGAAGAAAGGGAAAAAAGAAAAATTCTTCTGGTTTTACCATTTATTCAGCACACAGGAGGATGTGGTTGAAATAAAATTCTGTGGAAAATATTAGCGAAGATAAAAGCCTGTATGCCACGCACGTATCGCATTTTCACGTAGAAATAACGAGACGAATAATTGCGCGCGCAAGCCTATCGTCGAACGTTTATGGGCCTGTCGACGGAGCGGATCGAAGTGGTGTGTGCATAATACCTACTGCACACTTAAAATGTACACTGAGTCACGTCGACGAAAGACATTTCATTAATTCACGCAAATCCGATGTGGACAATGAGATACATACAAATTAGTCCCCGTCCCTGGACGATTTCCTGGACGGACCGTATCGATGGCCGTACACTATCAACCAGTCATGAAAACATAACCTTAAAACTAATATAATTCCCCTTCAAAAATGTCCTGCAACGGAACATATGCAATATTCACCTGCTCGAAACACTTCAAACTACAGAAATTCATATATGTAATCCACCGTTTCACGAACTAACGCAATAACCTCAAAAAATATTTAATTTTCAATTATTCAATATAGAGGTTCGCTGGAATTATGAGTCATAGAAGATTTCACGATTCGCAAAATAATTCCTTCAAACTTCTGTAATCACATCTCGATAAAAGTTTCCAAACTCAAAGCCTTCGGTTGAAATTTTTACATATTCAAAGTACTCGTCGGTTAAAGAGAGTCGCGAAATAGTCTTGTTTAAAGATGGAAAAGTCGAAGTTTCCCGAGTATAAATCAACCTGTCCACAGGCGTTTCGTTTTCCTGCGATGCAATTTCATTTCGGTGGATGTCTGTTATTTCACTCCCTACCGCTGAATTATAGTATCGTATTACCCCCCCAACTGTACCACTCTGTTCGCATTTAACGTATGTAATACAAGAGAGAATCGTCTCTGTGAAGAGTACAATTCGTGAAAAAAGTTCGACGCCGTAGTTCGAAATTGCCGCGTCACGCGGACGGGTCCATTGCAATGATCGGCGCGGTGATGTTGCAAAGGTCTTATTGGCCTGTTCCGCGCGGCGAGTACAATGGCGTAGCGAAGACGAGAGGCGCTCGTGCAAGGACGAATTATGTAATTGTGAACGAGACACGGCCCGCGCTGCCAGGGTAATAACGATCATTGTTCAGGCGCGAATGAAAATCAGGTGACTTCTCGATGGAACGTTAAAACACACCATCTGTTCGTGGATACGTAAAATGTAGCTCACGAATGGTACTCTTTGCAGTTTCAAGGACACCTTGTTTACGATTTGTGGATCGTAATCCTAGATCGATATCTGATACGACACGCGATGTAATCTGATTTTATGGAGATACACTGTTTTTTTTTTTTAATTTATTTATTTACCGCTTTTATCTGAAACTAGGGGAAAAAATATCGAATTTAGGAAATTCAAGTGGTGTGGTTGGTACTCTCTTTAAACTTTATCTGGAAATTAATTTAATTTCACGAGAGAAACGACGGAGAGAGCAAAGACTCGAAGCATATTAAAACTGCAAGTTTCGAGAACGTTGGTAAAAAAAAAAAGAAAAAAAGAAGTACGAATTGACCGCGGAAATAAAGGCACAAGTTCCACTCGACAATTACCGTTAGCCTTATATACGTGTATATATACGAATCTCACCACGAGAGCGCATGAGTGAGTAAACGCACACGCTTCCACGCTCTGGTTCGCGTGTACGTGTATCAGTTACGTGTGTTCGACGACGAACGTGTTCCGTACCCTCTCCTCCATCGCCTATATGGGTGAATTTCGCGAGTGTCAGCTGGGTGATAAATTCGTATCGCGAATTAAATACGATTGGCTGGGTTGACAGTGACGTCAAGCCGGTGGGCAGCCGTCAAGTAGCACAACTGCGTTGCGTTGCGTTCACGGAGATTCGTAAAAAATTCGTCTCTTTTTTTTCCTTTTTTTGTGTATTCTCCGCTTTTCTGATCACTCTCGCGATCGAAACCACTAACGACGACGACGACAGACTTGCCCAAGCTGAGTCACCCGTGGGTGACATGTACATCACGTGATGCCTGGCTTTTTTCACGCGACGTAACGTGTTGTCTTGAGTTAGAATTAATCGGATCTCATCTCCCTTTGCGTACATATATGGCTGATGTTTTTTGCATGGGTGTTAGGATATATATATAGATATATAAGAGCGTAGAACCGATGTCTAACGATCACGACTTTCCCGTTTCCTTTTTCCGGTTTCTCTTGGCTGGGCGGCGATCGATGATGATGGGTTGCAGTGAGCAGGCTCCACTGCGAGTCCGAGTCCTTCAAAATGGACCTGATCCTCGACATCAACAGCTGGCTCTACCCTATGGAACTTGGTGAGTGTCTTTTGATTACTTTTTAGTCTTCCTTTTTGTTTTTACGCTTAAGATACTTAACGGGTTATCGATCGAATGAATTATTGATGAATAGGTGTGTAGGATTTGTTAGGAACATTAATATACGATATTATGGAAGAATATACATATTTTGGAAAAATATAGAAGAATGCAATGAGAATATTAAATGGCGATGGTGGCTTGTTTACATACAGAAAAGTATTAGTTACGAGATTTTATAAATAAAAGTCAGATAATTGTGACAATGTTCGGTTAGTTTTAGTCAGATAGAGTAACCTAATTCATGAAAACAGTCTGGCCACTCCAGATAAAAAACAGCTGTATGGTACTCGTTACACGATGTGAATAGAATTGACATCAGTATTTTTTCGATAGACCAACAAATATTTTTTTAACGATACATCGTCACGTTTTATTTAAGTTCGTCTAAATTTGAAGAGGATCTCCCTTCGTAACTGTACCATGGGCAATTATAAGACTTGATTAATGATCGCCATTTTTCAGTCCTCGTTTTCTTGTACCGAGAAACTTAAGCGGTAGAATTTCGTCTGATTGTAAGTTTTAACTCGACAATATTGTCGAAAGGGGAAAGTAATTAAACGTCGTCTGTTGGCGAAGGGATAACTCACCTCGCATGAAAATTCTGTTTGCTATAGCGTAGAGGCGCTGTCACGGTTCTCTCTTGGTGTGTTTGTTTACACCGCGCGCGACTCGCGACTTTGCGTGCGTGCACTTGATCGATAGTCACGGCCTGTAAATGTGGCAAGGCAGACGTGAAATTTGCCATCTCGTTTAATTCGACATCGTGTCTTAAAATTTTAACATCACTGTCATGTAGGGCATATTGTAGTTTAACGTTGAAACGAAATTTTTCATTAATAATTAGAGTTTCGTGCTACGTTCCCATTTGGTAACGTGGCAAAATCCCCCACGATCACGGTACAGTTTTCTAAAAAAATTTCTAATACGTAACAACTACTCTTTATTCGCTATTGTGAAAGGCTTCTATCTGACTTTGATCAAGAGAGAAACGATATCGGTGTAAAACATCGTAATAGCCGCAAATGTATACGCTTTATACGATCAAACGTTCGATAAACGAAAGAAGGTGAAATATATTTCACGTTACACAGAAAGTTCTGCATTGTGTACGGGACACATCCTTCGCTACGCTTGTCGTCTATTTTCATTCCGTTGACCAACGTATACAGAACGTCGCCGTTTCTCAAGCGCGCAGAATAAGATTTATATCCGTGTATAAAAGTCGTAGAACGTGTGTGGGCTACATTTGGCAGCAGCGACGATATCTAGAGATTTCTATTTTCCTTCTTGAGCGAATTTCGAATACCGCCGCTTCCGGTTGTACAACGAATGCCAAAACCATCGATGTGCCGAAATTATTTCATGTTTTCTTGTTCTGTGTTTGCTTGTGAAACGTGTAATTCCTGAAACTATACTACGGGTTTGAAATAAAAATAGGGGTGGTAGGCGACACGCGTGTCTTAGCACGCGTGATCGATAAGGAAGGAATCGATACGTACCGACACGCGGAATTCTCTCGGTCCTTCGGTAAACGTGACACGTGTTTCGCTCTAATAGACACACGTGCTACCCACGTCAGACTTTTTATTCCCGTGGCTCTTTCACTTCTTGGTTAGACGTTCGAAGGACGACCTTGGCTAATGGACACCGGCGGAACGTGTTCTGCACAGCTCGAAGCGAGCCGCTGCTGGCCTACTGTGTATATCTACTTCCAAGGTGACTTCCATCGCGTTTTTTGTGCCAACGAACTGTTTTCGTCTCGCGACGAACTTCGACACGTGAGACGTTCCTCCCTAGAATGGCGGAGATCAGATGTATTTTCGTCTCTTTTTCAGCGCTTCTCATATCTGGTCTCTTTAAGGTTCTTTCGTCGTTAGTCTGTGTTGAAAAAGCTGCTGGAGCGAGCTTTACGTTGACGTGGATGTGTAAAACGGTGACAGTTTATATCGCCATGTGTAAGCCGATGCTAAAGGTCGTCTACTCGGTTAGTGTTTGTACTACTGGCTGTTCATTCGCGTAACAACTGTCGTCATTAATGAGAACACGAGAATTACGGATGGAAAATATGTTTATAAACAGTGAAACATTGTCTTATGTGGTACATACTGTAGGATAATTACAGTGACGAATTCTTGTGATAGATAATATTAAGATATTTCTATTTCTAAATGGATTTGTGTTTTCAATCAGGAGAGAGATCGGGGTAAACTTGAACAATAAACGGTATTCGTTATAACGTATATTAGATTCGTAAATGCGCCCAAGGCCACGTCACGCTGCAGTAAACCAACCCCCTCCCTTCGAATATCGTCATTTTGACTCGCCCCACGGACAGTTCTGGATGTATCTTGTTGATTCGGGCGCTGCAGAGAGAGTGGGTGCGTCACACCCACCGTAGAAAGGGGTGGGGGTAGGAGGTGGGGTGCACCGCATCGTCGATCCACCCCTGTGCGCCTGTTCGGTGTGTTTACAGATTCATATCCTGTTTCCTTGCCACTTCTCTGAAAATGCTTTCTCGTCTATATCTCTCTTTCGTAACCCCCACAAATTTCAATGAATTGTAGCTCAATTTCGTTTCCTCTGTACTTCGCGTGCTTTTCTCTCGTAATATTAAGAATAACGATGTTAAAATCACAAAATCTATACAGGGGGGTGGGGTGGAGGCAATTCTAGAAGTTTCGCAGTCCCCAGAAATAAAATTCCCCCGCTAGGTTATAACATACATAACCAACCTATAGTAAAACGCGTGAGTGAGTGAGTGAGTGAGTGAGTGAGTGAGTGAGTGAGTGAGTGAGGTGGGGGGTGAGTGAGTGAGTGAGTGAGTGAGTGAGTGTGAGAGACAGAGAGAGGAGAATGTAGAGAGCCTGCGGCGGGGAGGGGGAACGAAGGTTAGTCCATAGGGCCAGGCAAGCAGTCCCGCTGTATTGACGCGCGGCGCACAGGCTTGCGCGAGATGACGCAATCTCCCTCCCATTCTCCCCGCTCCGCCCGTACCTCTCATTCTGCTCGTCTCCCTTCTCCCCATCCGACGTGTACCACTCCTCTCTCCTGCCTCACCCGGCTGCTCCCATAAGTTCAATGCCAAGGTCAAAACGGCCACGACTCGAAGCCGTGTCGGTCGCGATACTCGTTCGCCGAGAGAAGAAGCGGCCGTGTGTGTATCCGTGCTCTCTCTCATCGTCGTGTGTGCTCTTTGCTTCTGCTGCTGGTGTCGCCCATCGTCTTCGCACTGTCCTTTCATCGTGTATTCGCGTTTAACCTTGTCCGGTCGCGTATCGCGCGCGCTTTTTACACCGATGTGTGCACCACCGCTTTTTTCGTACACACATAGACAGTTCGTTTTCGCGTCGCGCGACTAACCTACATACACGGAACATGTTGGGTTACGAGGCATTCAGATGTGTTACGAAGAATTGTTCGGTGAGAAAGACCATTTGGAGTGCTGCAAGAGCGATGAAAATGGGTGTCAAAGCCGTCAAATCGACACGTAAACGTCAGTGGTACGCAGTAGGTTGAAGAAAGTCGTGTTTCGTTACGATGTGACCCGGGATCGTCTTGGATAGAGCAGCAAGGTCATGACAGGTGCGTGAATATTCGAATAGAGAAGGAAAGCAGGATGTCCTGCGCGGCGAATGCGGATGCGCATCGTGTGAAGAATGGATATAAACTATCGGTGGATTCTCGCTCTCTCTCTTTCTCTCTCGATCGTGCTTGACGTCACGATACAAGATGGCGGTTTTCGGTAGACCCTGGGACACGTTAAAGCAACTTTAGTACGCGGGGGTGGCCGACGTTTGTGAATGTGTTACACGGTATAGTTTTCCTTCTCCGTATCTCTCGTTCTTTCTACGTTACAGTTTCATTTACTCGTCTAATCATATCGTGTCGTAATGTAATAGTGATAATTTCGTATATCATATTTACTCTCGTAAATGTCGCATTGACGTTTTCGAGCGAATCGAAACACACTTCTAATACGGTAATTTCCATTTGAGAGCAGCAGTGCTCCGTCGATACTTTAATTGAGTGTAGCATAAAGCGTTAATGCGCGTTTGCAACGCGAGCAAATTAACGGTACGCGTCGCTGTCAGTGTCAAGGCTAATGCTGTAAATCACGCGAGCCCATATTCTTCACTCGGCTCGCATTGGTTAATACAAGCCGGGGATAGTAATACGGTCGTGCATCGCTCAACTAGATAATCTATAATCGTTATGCCATTATCGTGATGTAAGCCTAACCCACGTACATCTCTCGGTAACATGATCAATTAATTGGACGTGTGGAGATTTTTTTACAGTTTCGTTTCCATTCGTCGTGTTTCTTTGTTTGTCGTCCCCCTCGACATTGCCACGGCCGGTAATATCGATTACCGTGCTATATCTATCATCGACATAGCGTGGACTTTTAACCTTGACCCTTGTTCCCCAGGATTCTTATGTGTGCGGGTTTTTTCTCCATTTCGAGAAAAGAGTTTCGTATCTTCCATTAACCATTGTGTTTAATGCAATTGTACCAGTATGTAATCTCGTTGGCAATTTTTTTTCCTCTGCCCTTTACGTTAGTGCCCCAGTTTTCTCTGTCGTACTAGCAACCCTGTGTAGCCTGTATAGGTTAACCACTCCTCATGCGTCCCTTCTTTTTCACTCTCCCTGCCTTTCGTCCTTCACCCCTTTTTTTCTTCCCCTTTTACATGGACGTTTCAACGGTGTGTCAAAAGGGTTATTCACATGTACATACATTCAGCAGTATCACAATACCCTATTCTTTTTTGCCGTGACAATCAAACATTCCTTTGTAGGAAATATCTTTACGTTTAGTTTCGAAATTAATCATAATTTTTTCATCATTTTCAGTGTAAACGTCGTCTTCGTTATTGTTCGATTACCCCCTCACTTCCGTTCAATTCAGAGACCCATTTTGTTGCAGCGGCAATTTTCTGAGGCTTTTGCCGCTGCTCTGTCTCTTGCATAATCAATGCCAGTAGCGGCGTAGATAATCGACGTGACATATTACAGTTTTCGTGTTTCCTTCCGTACGCGTGACGTGTCGTGTCACGTTCGTAACGTGCGATGCATGATGCAACGAGAGAGTACGAAACGTTGATGCCGAGAACACTTCCCTCCCGTCTGTTATCTTTATCGCGTGTTCTCGTCGTTGTCTATGATTCTTCGGTTCGCGAAAATAGCGAGGGAAGACAGACGACAGTGTGCGGGGCCCCTATTGGTTTGGTTCCGGTCAACTGTGAATCTCGTTTGAACGTGACGATGCGAACGTCTGCAACGCCCCCAATGTATTTTCGATGCACAATTGCCTTGAAGGTTTATTATTAGATATCAATTTCCGTGTTCCGACGTCGCGCGAATTTTGCAGCATAGAGGAGCTTTTTGAACGATGAAACAAAATTTTCACGCGCAACGAACATTTTTTCCTAGGAGAAATTTTCGAACGGGCATTGTTCTTCATTTGAATATTTCGCTTGCTCTTTTGCAGGTGATAAATTTCGTTTGGTTCTCGCGACGACCTTGAGGGAGGACGGCTATCCGGATGGAGGGGAGTGGAACGCGACGGAACAGGAAGGCGGTTCCAGAGCAGACAGCTTCGAGTACGTGATGTCCGGCAAGGTTTACAGAATCGAAGGTGACGAGGCCAGCAATGAACCCAGCAGTAGACTGTAAGTGATTCATTTTCTTTTTATTGCACTTTTTTATTGATAATCAGGTGGTACTGTTAACGGAATAAAATAGAGTGACGGCCATTTTGAAGCGATGAATGTAAATAATAATATCTGTTGAAGTAATATTTTCGAACTCAGCCATTTTGGAGTATTAGATTTAGGAATTGAAATTTTACAAGTGTACCAATTAATGAAATAACACAGAATTGTTTATTGTAAGATATTTTTTAGTACACATAATTTGTCCAAATTTACAACTTGAAATTTTCATTGTGGAATCGCAAAAGGCGGTACAAAAGATATTGATACAGTTCGGTGTAAAACAAATTGCGTTGGCATTACTATTTTATTCTGCTACGATCCACCGTAATTGCCCGACGTATCTCGTGCGTGCACGCACGCACACGTCACACTGTGACGTCATTCACACGCGCCGACGTGCGTAAACGCGCCCTCTTTCTACTGTGATCTCTGATTGGCTCGCTTCCAGTGCTCAATGAAGTTCCGTGAGAGTTTTTAAGACCTCCGTGAACCATAAAACGTTCTTTCATCGTACAGTAAGAACAAAAAAGAACGCATTAACATTCGTGACACTTGAAAAAAGAAAAAAACAGAACAAAAAAGACGTTTACAAATAATCTAACTTTTAACCATTTCTGCATAATACACACGAATCTACGGTTAAAACTTAAAAAGCAATATATCTTGAAAATACGATAACATTAAAAGAGCATGTCATTTTTTGGAAATATATACTTTACTTGGAATTTTGTGTAAGCGTTAATCTGAAATAGTATTCCAAGTACATACGATAACCGTTATCATTCTGGTTACGTGTTTTATAAACTAAAAAAATAAAACAAAAATAAGAAAAATAATTCTCGATGAATTGTTCAGAGAAAGTTGCATCGCGTAAAGGGGGCTCTGTGATGATAACCCTGATTTGACCGATTTATCGTTTAACCTTGAAACTCGACTCTACCGCCGCGTGCTCTGCAACCAGGGTTATATGCAGTAAAGGCCGCTTTGATGTTTGATCGGTGCCGGTTCCGTCGTAAACTGTGTGCGCGTGAACTCTTCCCGTCATTGTGCACGCATGTGGGGACTCACATGTTTCTCTATGAGAATAGAAGGATGCAGCGTGTGGCCGACATTCGATAAGATACGCTCGTGTAAACTCCGCGAGCGGCGCGTAAAGGGATTTTTAAATCGCGCGCATGTTGAGGTTATGTAATTGTTTCCTTTTATCGTTTATACCGCGTATCCCTCGCCAGCAGCGTCTTGTATTTTTCCATTTAAATTGTTTACCACCGTGATTTTAGAGGTTATTTAGAATGCGAAAAAAAACAAGATGGATGATCACGTATGTATACACAAAGGTCAGATTTATGTATCGTTAACAAGTTTGAATGGTAAATTAATTACCACGTTTTTTGAAAAAGAGAAAAAAAGAATGAATAATGGTGACAGAAACAACTGGGAGATATTTATCATAATTATCCTGAACGAGGCAAAAAGTTTTGACAAGAGCATTCTTTCTCTTTCTCTCTCTCTCTCTATCTCTGTTCTATACTTAACGCCACCTGGTAACTCTTCCCTCCGGCGCAGAATTAATTGGACAGATGGGTACTTGTCGTTGTACCGTGGAAAATGATTGCAAAATCGATCGATTTGCGACAGTCCGCAATTTATTACGCCAGGGCATCGTGAACTCGACGTTCTTTCTGGTAGGTGGAGGAGGAATGTTGGTCGTGTTCGGAAAAGCTATTTCCTTTCGACTCTTTCCACGCTCCCGGTATCGATTTATCGATCTCTTTGTTACACGCAGCCCCAACGGTTTTCCCGCTATCTTGGTTTACATGTTTTCGTATTTCGACTCTATTATCACAGATTTTATCGTTTTCGATAGCTACTTTCGAATCTTTTGCAAGATAGATTTCCAAAAAGCCTGTTAACAATTTTGGACGCCATTTTTTTTCATATCAGATATTTAACCTTATCCGTTATTTGAAGAAGTGATAAAATAAGTGAAATGTATATTGCAATCATTCATCAACAAAGTGATACACTTAATAACGTGCTTAATAATGAAACAGCGAGAGTATAATAAAACGTTAGAATAATGTTGACATGACGATCAATGAAGACTCGACATCGAGAAGCGTGAAACGGGGGTTCCCTCTGTTTTTTTAAAAGATATCGACGAGTAAAGAGCAGCGAGAAAAGGCAAAATTATCGTTGAACCCGTTCGGTCGGTAAGTGTGGAACGGAAATGGTGAAACGAGCTCTCGGAGAACAGGGAGCCACTCTGCGTTCACTCGGTGGGTAATGAAGCGGGTGAACACAGCTGGTGGTATCTCAGTTTTCTGAGGGCGTTAGCAGCCCATCGAGAGTTACCTGCTGATTTCTATGCTGATTTAACGAAAGAAGAACAGTATTATGGAAACATCGATAGAGGAAGAATTCATGAAAATCGAACCAAAAGGAATAATACATTCAAATATGAAATCTTCCACTTAATACATTAAATCACATTATACGATACGTTCCAGTTATTCCTGGATTCGAAGTCATAAAGTACACAACGGTTAAATAACAATTTGCGCCAACACGGATTACGAAGCAGATTACTCTTTCAATATTTACACCGTCGAGCTGAATTACGCATCAATAACCACGCTACTCGTGGATAACGAGTGCTAAGAATTACTCAGGTGCTCAACCAGATACAAATCCAGCCAATTTAATGCTACCCGGCGTGGTTCGTACGCCTCTGTTGATAGCGTGAGTCCACCAAATAGAAGGGGCGTGACAGCTGGAAATGAATTATTGATCGGGGTCGCTAGAGAGCCCCAGAATGGATATAGCTAATCCTCTGGCGAACCGAACAACGCTCAGGTACGCATGTTACCATAGCAGTGACGCATCTTCCGAGTTGAATCCCTGATTTTCCATCTTTATGTGATTCTTGTCAACCTAACCTAATTTCGATCTGTTCATTGGAAAGCTATTTTATACATTGTTCTCACTTTAAAATGTGAAAATTTGAACGAAGAGGAATTCAAAAGAGTGTTACATCGAGCAATTTTCTGATACATTTAACACGACTGCGGGGAATGTGTGCACGACGCAGTGTGCATGCGTGGACGCCATAAGTCGCGTATTTGAATTGGTTCGCGGCGCGCGACGCGCTAGCATGCGCACAAGGTCGGCCGGGCTGTCAAAATCAGCTGACGCTCTGGTGATCAATCAGCTGATTCTCAAGCTCTCGGCAGGGAGACTCTTCCCGTCTTGTTTCGCAAACTTAGAGGGCGCTAACATTCGCTGGCTCTAGAAATCGACCATCTTTTAAGATCTCTCTTATACTTAACCATTATTACAATTAATATCTCTTGGAAATAATTTAACAATCGTTGCTTTCTTTTTGGATATATATATATATATATCTCAAAATTGATATAAAGAAATGGACAGTTTGGAATTGTAAATTCTACATAAACTGAAATTACGCTATATAACTGAACGTTGACAAAGGAACAAGCAGCCAGTTGAAATATGACGCATAAAGTGCTCAATGAATTTTTTTACGAGAGGCCGGTACGCTAATATGGTTACAAGTCGCACTCGAGATCCCCTGATGCATTCATTAGATCATTGCGACATAGCAAACCGTAATACCCGGAGTATGACATCAGCGCGACCATTATCGTGATCAAACGTCCCGCACGAAATTCCTTTGCAACGTTGAAAAAACAGCTTGATCTCGGTAATTAAGCGTTCCACCGTGTATATATGTATACCAGGGACTAGAAAAATATAGATGTGTGATTAACATGAGAAAAGCACATCATCATCGGTGGAATAAAAAAACAGCTTCATAATACCGAATAGAGTGTGTATACCATCCACCGATAATTGAACATTAACGTATCAGTGACGAGATGGAAAAGGCCAGGCAGCAGGGGCTCGAAATAATGCATTATACCGTAATTTCTGTTATCTACGTTGGACGCAGCAGCGCGCGAAGATAAACATGAGCGCCTCGATAATTATATCGCGATAGTGTAATTGGAATAATTGCATCGCGTTATTCCGATTAAATCTTAACGAACTCTCGGTTTCTCTGTCTGCGAAACGTTTATGACGACCGCTTGAAACAAATGGTCGCTTTTCAATGGATTCACTGACGTTAAAATTATATTATACAGCCTTTCTCACTGCTATACCGACGTTAATATAATAATGATGAAAATTCATTGAAGAAAAGAAAGAAAGAAGTGTATATAAAACTTGTAACGGATTCTCTCATTCAAAAGCTTCGAGAGTGTGCTTTTACTATAGAGCCTGTGCACAATATACAGCTGCACTCTCAACGAACACATATAGGCGTCGACAAACAGGATTAACAGTGTCCGCGACCGTGAGCGGAAAGCTCTATATTCAAGGTCACTGCACCTAAAAGGCTTAATGCCTTTTACTACAATCATCATATAATATAGAGTGGATGAAAGGAACCTATTTGCACAATATTCTTTTGAGTATTTAATAAGCAAAAGAGTAGTTGAACAAAGATGTGTTAAATTTTGTACAAGAAATTGATAAAGAAGAGATAACATGTTCAACTATAAAATATCACTGTACTACTTTAAACTATCGACCGTTAGGCTGTGCTTCTTATATCTATATCAGCATTTGTGAAAATCAAACATTAACATACTGAAATTAATTCATAGTAATAATATATATGGTGTTTCTAATGTTTTGCAATTTATTTTATCAGGTAATGTTAAGGGGATGTAGTATCCAGGTTTGAATAGAGAACATAGACATTCTGTTTTATACAGGGTGATCCACAAGTTACGTTATTATACCAAATTTCTAAAGAAACAGTTTGCAAAATCAGAAACAATTTTGAAATATAGAAAGTTGTTCAGTCTTCAAATGGTAAAAGGAAATCACCCTGCGTTTCGCTATATTTTTATGAAGACGAGAAATGG